AGCAGTGCGGTTAATACTAAGACAACTTCAGGGGAATTAAGGCCTGCAGGGAAATAAACGAAGGAGGAAACACAATTAGATAAAACTAAATAAATCATCTTCCTTCAAGTCCAATTAAAAAAAAAAAAACAGAACCCGTCCGCCTCTCAAACACAAAACGGTGATTATTACCGGACTAAAGGTCTCGTCTGTGGTTTATAAAACAAACCCTGATAGTTTGGACCAGAACATCCACGAGTTTCTACGTTCCTGTGGCTCCTCGAGGCTCCTAATTTAGATGAACACACTTGGACAGCATGAATTAGAAGTTATTTCTCTGTAGTAGCGCACAGCGTAGTGATTGTTCAGACCCACAGCTGTACGTGAACCTGCCCTTCAGTGGAGGATGAATCAGCGAGCAGGGATTTATGCATGTTATCTGATGATCGGCGTTGATTCAAACTGTGGGTGGATTGAAAGTACAGCTGATTTCAAAGGATTCATCAGCTCGCTCAGTGTGTGTGTGTTAGTGTGTGTGTGTGTGTTAGTGTGTGTGTGTGTGTAGGTGTGCTCTCTCACTGGTGGATGGCCTGCAGGAACTTCCGCTGGTGTTTGCGGACTCTGGAGTGGTCGATCTTCTTCATCAGCTTGGTGTGTTTGTAGATGAGCCAAGTCTCCCTCAGCACGTTGGCCGCCGCGTTCTTTATCTGCAGCCAGACAACGACAAGACAAACAGGCGTTATTGTCAGCAGCAGGTTGGCGACCGCGGCCGGCAGCAGGTCGGGCCTCCCCCTCCATTGTCTCCCCGCTAAGAGAATAAAACAGCGTCGCTCTCGTCGCCTCGCCAGCGCCTTTCATGTGCGCACAAACAGCTCCGTCCTCGGGGAGGCTGGCAGCGAGAAGCCGACAGGAGCGTCTCCCGTCATGCTTCCCTCCGCTCTCGGTTCGTCTACGAGTCGCTGACGGACCGGACGGAGCGAGTGGCTTCGATGAAAACCAGCCAGCTTCCATTTAGCTGAAAGAAAAGAGTCGTCGCTGCTCCTAAAGCGGCTGAGAAACAGTCCATGATGCTGCACGGGAGTTTTATTATTACTATTATTATTATTATTATTATTATTGTTATTGTTGTTGTTGTTTTCATCAGACAGGAGCTTGTATTGAAAAAATCAAGACATTTTCATCAAACACGCTGCCTATTTCACACACTGCTTCAAAGAAAAATAAAATTAAAAAAAAAACAAACAAATAAATATAAATTTCAAGAATCAAAGTCATCAGTAAAAATTACATTAATCATAAATTTTAGAAAAATATTATGTGAGAGATGCTGGAGAAACATGACATTGCGATATTTTTGTTTCTCTGCCAAAAATATTGAAAAAAAAAAAGAAATTGTCACCATACACATTGTCTATTTCACACACTGCTTTAAATAAGAAAAAAATCCAAATAAATATACATTTTTAAGAATCTAAGTCATCAGTAAAATGACATTAATCATAAATAATAATAAAAAAATATTATGTTAGAAATGTTGGAGAAAACTGACATTACGATATTTATTTTTTCTTCAAAAAAAAACAAAATTTAAAAAAAACATTTTCACCATACACACGTTGTCTATTTCACACACTGTTTCAAATTTAAAACAAACAAACAAACAAAAAAAAGCAAATAAATATCAATTTCAAGAATCAAAGTCATCATAAATTTAAAAAAACAAATAAACATTACATTTGAGATGCTGGAGAAAACTGACATTGCCAGATTTATTTTTTCCTGCAAAATATATTTTTCTAAAAATTGAAAATTTTCACCAGATGACGTAAATAACTCTATCTGGAAATAAAGATCTATTCAAGAATGACTGGAGAGATTTTATAGGGGAGTGAATCCGCTCGGAAAATAAGAATTTATTTGTTTTTAACATCATTTTAAATGATCAAACTAACCGTTGCCTCGTGTGGTGAAAACAAACAACTACAAGATGCTTTTCAGTCGACATCATCCTTCATAAATGAAATATTTCCGTACAACACGATTAGTTTGACCAATACTGGCATTACACAAGCCTATTGGTCACAATTTATTCATAATACGGGTAAAAATATTCTGTGATTTTGGACAAAATATAGTCGTTGCACTTCACGTTTCAATAAACGGAACGCTGGATTCACTTCCTGTCCTGCTAATGTACACATATGCATCAAAATAAGACTTAAAACAATCTTCATATGTAAAGATTTTACCGCAAAAAGCTCCCTGATGCATGGAGAAGCTTCTAGTCTCCATCAGTCACAGCAGCTCAGACAGCTGAGACCAGAAAGTCCTGACCTGATGTCAGATTTTCTTCATTTGCGCAAGTGATTTTATTTAAATGTTCTGTTTTTAAACGTTGATATAACACCCGACGGTTTAACTGTGCGAACACAAAGACGCTGTGTTTCTCTCATGCAACCACATCTTCCCTTTTCGGTGCTTCTTCGCCCATTTTGCAGCACATGTGGAGCTGCGTGTCGTCAGCGTCTCACGAGTTAATGAAGTAGTTAATAAAACCAGTTTAATAACTCCGTAAATGATGTTCTACTCGACGGGCTGCTCCTGTAGATGGCTGATGGAAAATCTGAGTTTTCTTTCTGTATCAAGCAGCGTAAAAAGTGGCGTTTATTTCACATTGTGATGTCGGTGCTGAGGCGATATGTCGAGCCGTCCTGCTGGGATCGAAAAAACATGCAGAACCAAACGCCAGCGCTGCTTCGGGTCAGACTCAGATCGGCCTTTTGCATCCACTCATCAGCTGCTGCGCGTCTCATGTATATATCGTACATCTCTATATGTTGCCACGCAATTACGACGCAGGGGTCTGACGCCCAGCGAAGAGGAGCGAGGGTGGATGCCGCGGAGAAGGAGAGGGAATCTGTGAGGACATAAATTGAATGAGAGACTTCAAAGAGACGCTGAGCACTGAACAAAGAACAATTATACCCCCGTCTGAGGAGCACAAAAGATCCCGGCAGCTCGGCTAATCAGCACCCATCCACCGCAGTCAAGGACTGTTCGCTCGCATACACGCCTACACGTGCACACACGTGCACACACGCGCACACACGTGCACACGCTGCTGGCTGCAGATGAAGAGAGTAGGAGGCCGTGGGCCTGCAGATGTGTTTTCAATGACATGGAGGAAGTCAAACCAAAAAGAGCTAATCTATAGATGGCTGCTGTCGCGCGGCTAATTCCTCGCGTTAGCAGTTTGTGACAGACGTGTTCACGCGCACATTCATGCAGTGTGTTTGCTGTTAAAATATTCAAATGCTGAATGTAAATCTCATGAATGCTTCAGATCGCAGCCTGTAAACACACAGCAGCATTACTGTGTGATCTGCAGCGCCGATAGTGTTCCAGGAGTTATAGAAGAAGAAGCCAAGAGTTCAAGAGCCTACAGATGAACGATGCTGTAGTTTTCTGATGAAGTGTTCAGGGCCGTCTGTTCAATGTCTCTTTTTGTTTTAGGGCATCGAGGTCATGTTGAAAATCAGAAACTAAGGCTTGTTAGCAGTCTGCATTGATGACAGCGCTACAGATGTATTAACACGAACAGTCATGCAGCAGGTTTGCTGTTAAAATATTAAAACACAGAATGTAAAGTGCTTCAGTTATTGTGTGATCTTGAGCACCGATAACACTGTGGAACAAGACATGGAGCTATGGAATAGGAGGCCAACAGTTCAAGATCTTACAGATGAATGAGACGGTTATGCTCGACAAACTCGATACAGACGCGTCACTTCAACGTCTCCGCTCAACAGCACCGTTGCGAGATATTTGGATCAATGCAAACAAATGTCTCTTTTAACTCTGCAGCAAAAAAGATGTTCTCATGTTGTCAAAGACACTTTCTGGACAACATCATAAACTCTATCAGAGTTTTAAGTGTCATTAAGGTGTCCGTACGGAAATGTCAAACATTATTCACCCCCATATGTGTGTATTTCTCTCTGCTATTACCGCACTAACACACCACATATCTCACCATTACTTTGGTATAAATACGCGGCACATTGTGGGCTGGAACATGACACCAAACATACACGTTTCTGGTAAATCTGCCTCGACATGATTTGGATTTAAACGTAGCAGCGGGGTTTGTAGTAAAACCCACCATCCCATGTTTCCTTGTAAGAATCCTCCAGTGTGCTCCGGTAGGATTACAGAACTCCTGTCCAGGCAGCGAAGACAGGCGCCGACAGAGCCGCCAAGATCCCAAAGAGTCGTCACAACTACGACACGCTGTCACGATGTCGTCTTTACGGAGGCCTCGTCTATTTTCAGATCGTACTTTAACAGAAAAGGCTGAAAACGAGATCTGCAGCTGAACATCAGTGACGGTTGTTGCTGGTTTTCAGCAGGTGATTCTGACATCAGTGGTTTCATTTTGAATTACAACGAAGAATGCTGAGTTTTGAGCAGCACGTTTCATGTTTTCATCATTTTAAAATATTTTTAAAATATTGTCCACCTTGACCTTCAAAGACACAGAAACCATTTTACAGGTTTTTATGTCATCATGCCGCATCACTGCAGCAGCCTTCAACCTGCCAGAACAAAAAATCTAGTGATTGACAATCATGTCACTCTTTAAATTGGTTTCTAGTGTGTTTTAACCTCTTTACACTGGTTTCTTGTATGTTCCAGCCTTTGTAAAGCAGTTTCCAGTTTGTTTTAACCTTTTTAAAGTGGTTCCCAGTATATTTCAGCTTTTCAAAACTGGTTCCCAGTGTGTTTTAACTTCATTAAACTAGTTCCCAGTATGTTTCAGCCTCTTTAAACTGGCTCCCAGTATGTTTGAGTCTTTAAACTGGTTTCCAATATGTTTCAGCCTCTTTATAATGGCTCCCAGTGTGTTTTAACCTCTTTAAACTGGTTCCCAGTATGTTTCAGCCTTTTAAAACTGGTTCCCAGTATGCTTTAACCCCTTTAAACTGGTTCCCAGCATGTTTCAGCCTCTTTATAATGGCTTCCAGTATGTTTTAACCTCTTTAAACTGGTTCCCAGTATGTTTCTGTCTTTTTAAACTGGTTCCCAGTATGTTTCAGCCTTTTAAAACTGGTTCCCAGTGTGTTTTAACCTCATTAAACTAGTTCCCAGTATGTTTCAGCCTCTGTTTTTTTACATCTTGTGAGTTTTGTCACTGATTCTCTAGCTTGCACTCAGTGCTCCATGAATAAAGTTTATTCTCATTCTTCTACCGTTTCGTCGTCAGTAACGAGTTAATTCTCTTGTTTGGATAAAAGTCGGTTCGCCCACTTTTAATCACCGTCCAGGTTCCTAACAGCACATTCAATACTGTCCATATCTGCAGCGCCGCTGGTAAACTGATCTGTCAGAGCCTGTTTATCAGCTGATTAATCACTGCAGGTTGAGTGAAAGATGATAAATGATCCCCCTTCATTTTATTTTCTCTCCCCCTCCGGGAATAAACGTCCAAACTGCGGCAAAGACGGCGACTCCATTAACAGAAAGCGAAGGACTCGACGTGAACGCTCCGCGAGAAACCAAACGGCAGCAGCGGCAGCGACATATGGCCTGCACTCGGGCCTCCACGTCGAGACCATCTGGCCGGTTCGGGTCAAAGAGCTGCTCTGGCTGCTCCCCTGCACGGCTCACCTTATGGCAGGTACATGAGAAATCTGTTAAGGAAGGAGTT